CCACAACCCCCCCTGATTGTGCCCCCCCCCCTTGCCCAGCTGTCTCCCCCCGGCCTGTGTGCCCCTGCCCACTGTCCCACTACCTCCCCCCTGCTACTTCCTCCCTCTCTTCACCTCCCCCGACTCAGCCTCTGCCCAGCAACCCCACCTCCTGGCCCACTGCAACCCTGCTTGGACTCCATTTTCTCTTCTATCCTGTCCTCCCTCCTCTCACCTGGATACCCATGTCTGGTTCTCTAGACAATCTCTCTCCCCCCACTCTCTAGGCCCTGTACCCTCTCTCACCACACACACACCTTCCCAGGAACCCAGCCCCCTTGTGCTGTGTCCTGACAACCTCATCCCTGCCTGGGACCCAGGTGATTCTCCCTCTCCCTTTGTCTAAGGATTCTATCCTGTCCTCCCTCCTCTCACCTGGATACCCATGTCTGGTTCTCTAGACAATCTCTCTCCCCCCACTCTCTAGGCCCTGTACCCTCTCTCACCACACACACACCTTCCCAGGAACCCAGCCCCCTTGTGCTGTGTCCTGACAACCTCATCCCTGCCTGGGACCCAGGTGATTCTCCCTCTCCCTTTGTCTAAGGAAGGGGAACCCTGGTGTTCGCAGTGCCCGTGTCCCCAAGTCCCTCCGTGGACAAAAATAGGGGGGGGGAAATGTTTTTTGCTCGGGGTGGCAAAAAACCTAAAGCCAGCCCTGCACGTTCCAATGCTGTGTCGATCAGGTTCAGTGTTGAAAGTGAAAGTAAAGTGTAGCTGCAGTTCTGCCGACAGCGGGGAGCTTTTTTGGCAGATCCTGTACTCCTCAAAAAATGAGGAGTACTCCCCGCTGTCAGCAGAGCCGCGGCTACACTTTACTTTCACTTTCAACACTGAGCCTGATCGGCACAGTGTCAGAACGTGAGTATGCAAATGAAGTCCAGGATATTTAAATCCCGGGCTCATTTGCACTTTTGAAGTGCTTGATTTGCATCCCTCTGTCAGCAGAGGGATGCAGTCTAGACGTAGCCACATTGACCTGGGAATCCGTTACATCACTGAGACAGTTAATTAGGCAGAGAAGACCTAGGGATTGATAAAAAGGTGCCACGCCTAAGGGAGAGGCAGAGCCAAAATTATGAGAGATACAGAATTGAGGGTGGAAGCATAAAAAGAGATGGAGTGAGGTAATTATACCAATCCCAGGTAAACTGGGATTTGTGCTCTGAAGTCACTTAGATGTTTTTGAAAACCACACCCTCGGTCCTTACTCCAGGAATTCTCTCCCTGGGCACTGATTCTAAGCTGACTGGTTCAATTCAGAAGTAACTCCATACAAATCAGTGGAGTCACAGTGAAATTAGAGAAATTAGTATAAATATGGTTAGGATCAGGCCTTGAAATCAGTTTGGGCACATCTATGCTGCAGTGTTATTTCAAAATAACTCACATTATTTCGAAAGAAGAGAGTGCACATCTACAGAGCACGCATCTACATACCAAGCCTGTTACTTCAAAGTAATTTTGAAATAACGGGCTTCTTGTTCCAACTTCTGTAACCCTCATTTCACTAGCAGTAATGGAAGTTGAAGGAAGAGTGCTCTTCCTCCTACTTCCTGCTATGTAGACAGTGCCAAAAGTTGAGTTAAGCTACTTCAACTTCAGCTACGCAATTAACATAGCTGAAGTTGTATATCTTAATTTGACTTTAGCCCACAAGTTAGATGTACCACTGAGATCTAGACAGTAAGGGCTTTAAGAGCTGTGTCTCTGATAAGAAAAATTTTCTGTTTCTAGATTGATGACAGTAGCAAACATGCTGGTTTCTTTAACACTGGGATAGATTCCAATATACTGAGGTTTTCAGGCTGTATCTATCAGCATTAGCACCTCTGTCCATGTGCAGTATGTTCTATTACCTGAATTGTTCCGAATTTCTCTCCATTCTGAAAGCGAGAAAACAACAGACATTGAATTAAGAGAGGCTTTGACTCTAGATTTCCTCCTTCTAAAAGTAGGGAAGTTCCAGACTGAGGGCACGTGAAGATGCCAGATGCAGTAAGTGGAAATTCCCTTTACAAGAGTTAATGTAGACAAAAATGGCCCATGAATCATCATTCTATTTCTCTTTGTCACACACATATCACTTATACTGAGCAAAGTTTAGAAATTAGGGCATGAGTCTTTTTCTAGCTGAGATTTGTCCTGTCTGTCTTGTACCTCCACTAACACCTCACCATGTTACCTGTTCTCCTTGGCTTTGATCTGTTTCTAAAGCCTTCTTACTCCTTCCCATCTCACTTCAGCAGAAAATAAACCTTCCCATCCACACACACAGCATTTTCAACCACCAGCGGCTGTATACATGGCAATCCAAGGGTGTGTCTACACTGCAGCTTGGAAGTGTGATTCCTACTGCACTAAAGCCAGCAGAGTGACCACACTGGCTCAGGCTAGCTGATCAAGTATAATCCTTCCTGACTCCAGAGTATATACATATCCCAGGTATGTATGCCCATGCCACTGTGGCTTCATCACTATTTTGAAGTGGAGTAACTCAAGCAGAGCTAATACCTGAGTTGTGAGATACAAACTCCAGTTGCTGTGCAGAGATATTCTAAACCAGCAACAATCCATCTGTGGATACTGAGACATTTTCAGCCCCACATATAGATCACAGGGAGTCAGTGGGTCTGTCCCACCCTTCAGGCTCATATAGACAACGGGTAAGAGGCCACATTTCCCATGCTGCCTGGTGTGAGCAAAGTAGGGAGATGCAATGTGCCTGCCCGGAGCTGCAGACTTCCTTGCTATGAGTGGGGAATAGATGTTCAGTGTCTCGTTTCCTATCAGAAGCACCCAAGGAAACTGAAAGGAATAGGAGCAATGGCTCCTTTCCCCAAACAGCCAAGCACTGAGAGTGGGGACAAAGGCAGGTATGTACATGCTACCCCCCTAGTTCGAACTAGGGGGGTAATGTATGCATACCGAACTTGCTAATGAAGCCCGGGATTTGAATTTCCCGGGCTTCATTAGCATAAAGCCGGCTCCGCCATTTTTAAAAGCCGGCTTGTTCGAACCCCGTGCCGCGCGGCTACACGTGGCACGGGCTAGATAGTTCGAACTATGTAGTTATTCTGAACTATCTGTACGCTAGTTAGCTGGAAGAACATTTTTATGGTGATGGTTTAAGATTTGGATGATGAATCATCATCAGCAGATATGTATGTGGTATGGGAGACCAGATGGCATTCAAGGGGTTTTGAGATGCAGGTAAGTTATTGCAGGGCTAGTTGAGAAAGAATCATGATTTGACATGATTTGTTCTTTACAAATTCAGGTTGGCCTTTGCCTATCACCTTATTATTTTTTCATATAATTGCAGATTAATTCCTTAATTGCTTGCTCCATTATATTTCCTGACACAGATGTTTAATTGACTGGTCTGTAATTTCCTTGGTTGTTCTTATTTCCCTTTTTATAGCTGGGCACTTTATTTGCCCTTTTCCAGTCTTCTATAATCTCTCCTGACTTCCATGATTTTTCACAGCTGATAGCAAAAGGCTCAGATACCTCCTCTATCACCTCTTTGAGCATTCTAGGATGCATTTCATCAGGCCCCCGTGACTTGTAGACATGTAACATTTCTAAGAATTTTTAACTTGTTCTTTTTTTATTTTATCTTCTAAACCTACTTCATTTCCACTAGCATTCACTAAGTAAGGTAATGCTTCATCATCAGACTTCTTGGTGAAGACCAAAACAAAGAAATTATTAAACACTTCTACCATTTCCAAATTTCTCGTTATTGTTTCTCCCTCATCACTGGGGCTATGTCTACACTTCAGGGTTTCTCTGGAATACCTCCAGTATCCCGGAAAAATTCTGCTGC